CCACGGGGTCCCCAACAGGCTGTCCCTGCAGCAGTGTGATGCTGTGGCAGGTGGCCAGGGCATGGAGCAGGGGGCCGGCAGGCAGACGGCGCGGCTCATGGATGATGGGCATGAAGCGTCCGTCCTCCAGGGAGATCACCCCCCATACATCCAACCCTTCCTCTGTCAGGGTCCCCGTCTGTAGGATGAGCACAGTAGGGCAGGAGCAGCTCCAAGCTGGGAGCCACGGCATGAAGCCACCTCAAACACTCACCTTGTCAAAGCACACCAAGCGGATCTTCCCACACAGGTTGATGCGGGGAGGGCTGAGCGTAGAACCACAGGATTATTAACATTGGAAAAGACCACTAAGATCATCCAGTCCAACCCAAACCCACCCCACGCTGACCACATCCCTCAGTGTCACATGGAACACCTCCAGGGATGGTAACCCCCACCACCCCTCTGGGCCACCCGTACCGTTGCACCACTATTCTTTCATAGAAGAAATTGTTCCTAAAATCCAACCTGATGCAGAAGATGCCACGTTTCTTCAGCCTGTTCTGGGCATAGATGGAGCCCACAGTCATGGCAGCTGGGAGAGCTGGCGGCACAATGACAGTGATCAGGTCAAGGGCACGGATGATGATTTGCCCCACGGGAACCTGGCAGGCGAGGTGCGTAAACGGGATGAGCATCCTGATAGCTTCAGTTGATGGATCTTTATGGTTGGTGTCTTTCCCCTACCTGGTTTTTCATCATGATGAGGATGCTGTACAGTGTGCCGATAAAAGCTGTGCAGAGGAAAAAAAAATGGGTTGTGGTACAAAGCCAAGCAGAGATGGGGATTCTACCATAACGAGGAGCTCGGCTGCTCCAGGCAATGCCTCCCTACCCAGCACAGCAAGGAACAGCACAAACTTCACAGCATCCTTGTAGAACTTGAAGGTCACGGGCTTGGGGTAGAGAATGGAGCTGATCAGGTCACCTTTGGCCGTGCAAAACCCTATGGGATAAGAGCAGGAGGACCTCAGCATGTGCTTAAAGCCACCACTCCAATGGTGACCGCACGGTGCTACCTGTACGGGTGACAACAGCCAGCACCTCCTGCCCCATGTAGGACCTGGCCTGGATGATGTGTGTCCCACAGAACAGCGTGTGCCTCTGATGCTCCTTGGGGCTATAGATGGTGCCTGCAGCCCCTCCACCATTGGGGAGAGGCGTCTTCAGCACAGGCACGCTTTCCCCTGCAGGAAAAAACCCAGAGGTGATGAGCATTGCTAATTCATCACCAAAGTGTGGATGCAAGGATGGAAGGGTTCACCGGGATGCTCTCACCCGTCAGCATGCTCTCGTTGACCATGCACTCGCCTGTCAGCAGTGCAGCATCGCAGGGGACCAGCACTCCATCCAAGGGCAGGCTGATGCAGTCCCCAGGCACCAGCTCTGCTGAGCTCACCATCGCCTCCTCTGCTGGGACAGCACCCTTCCTTTGCACCCAGAGCCCAAACCACCCCAACGCTGTTCCATCCACCACCCATCTGAGCCCACTGGGGCGCTCCCAGCAGGAAAAGCCAAGCACGTCTCTATGAGGTGGGGTTGGTCCCATCCCAAAGGAGCCTGTGCTCATCACAGGCATCACGCTCACCTCCGTCAGCACGGCGCACTCGGATGCTGATGGACATCCTGGCCATGTTGCGCAGCGTGGTGCTTTGCTGCAAGGGAGGGAGCTGTTAGGGGGAGCCAGAAGCAGCTCAAAAAGCAAAGCACCTTGGTCATGAGTGCACCAGGCTGGGGACCATACGTGGGATGTGGTCTAAAGGACTGGTGATGCATTGGAGCAGGCTGCCCAAGGAGGTGGTGGAATCACCATCCCTGGAGGTGTTCAGCGTGGGGATGTGGGTTGGTAGGCATAGTGAGGATGAATGGATAGTTGGACTGGATGATCTTAGGGGTCTTATCCAACCTTAATGATTCCATGGCTTCATGAAACCTTCTCAATGCACACTCAGCCAGCTGGCTTCAGAAAAGGGTTATTCCACTAAGCCAGATCCCTATAAAGCCCCCAGAAAGCCAGATCCCAACACAGGGTGGGCTTTGTGAGGCATTTCCCAAGGTCCGGCCACCAACCTTTCTTGTCTCGTAGAGGGACAGCCCCAGGGAGATGGTGGAGATGAGGAAGATGCAGGCAGCATAGTAATAGTAGGCATCACAGACCCACAGCATGATGCTGAGCACTTGGAAGATGTAGAAGGGATTGAGCACCTGCAGAGAGGTTTATGGTCAGGATGGCAGAGGATGCTCTGCAGCCAACTGGGGATGCTCCTGGGTCTGCAGTCCTCCCATGGGTGCTCACCTCCTCCACCAGGAGCTTAGCATAGGACTTGACAGGCACCTCGATGAGGTTTGGGCCGTAGATCTTTCTTCTGTATGGTAAGGATGGAAGGTATTCAAATGACAGTGTAATGGTATATCAGGCCTTGTAACTGAGCTCCAGGCTCAGACTGAGAGATGAAATGCAAAAAAAAAAACCACCCCTGATTGCTGTCATTGCTGTATCCTACCAATGCTCTGCATGCCCACCTGGAGCTGTGGTCCTGCTGGCCCAGCCCAGCCCGACAGAGGTGGAGCTCTGCACAGGTCCAGCCTTCATCCAAGGCGCTGGGAGCAGGGGAGGGGGGAAGAGAAGGAAGAGAAACAGATTCAGAATCACTGGGAGCACAGCAGAACACACAGCACGTCCACGTCAACAAAAACCCTTTGGGAAAGAGAGAGCATCTTGTTCCGCGTGCTCAGCCAAGGCTGGGAGCAGGAACAAAAGGGGCACAGTGCAAGGATTTGTGAAGGCTTTGCAACACGCAGAGAGGCCGTGGTGTGGGTTCACGAGCAGCAGATGGATCAGGATTGTTTTTTGGGGAAGAGGAGTACCTGACCCTGCAGTACGCCTGCCTCCTCTCCATCCAGACGTAGCGCAGCCCCTCGAAGAGATAATAGCGCAGGACGTTGTGCTGAGCAGAGATCGGGGGGCTTTTAAAGGGCTGTGGGGGGCACAGGGGAGCAGGGAGGGGGTCTGTGGGCATCACCTCCTCCTGGTGCAGGCGGATGGTGTCCCGGCTCTCCCCCTCATCTGCCAGGCCAACAGCGATGCTGCTCTTGCGGTCCTCCAGCCTGGCCCCGTGGTGATGCTCCAGGCTGCTCGGGGCACAGAACAGACCTCAATCTCTACAAACACCAACCTCCCCCCCTCCCTCCCACTTCCCACCCATTCAACACGAGTTTTGCTCACCTGCCCTCACCCAGCATCTCCGTCTGCACGCGTGCAGTGAAGCACTGCCCAAATCGATCCTGCAAACACACACAGCGTCCCAATGGATGCAAGCAGGGAACCCCATCCCACTCATAACCTCCCCCGTGGTGCTCACCCGAATGATGACCCAATCTGCCTGCCCCAAGGCACAAGGCTTGCACCTGGCCCGTACGTGCAGGCTGGGTCTCCAGTGGAAGAGCAGCAGCAGCAGCCCAGCACTCAGCACACAGCACACATGGCACAGGGCCGTGCGCCACGTCTGGCTGCGGTACCCCGTCACCTCCTGCAGGAACACCAAAATGCACTCACTTATGCAATTTCCTTCCAAGCAGGATGCTCTGCCTGCTCACAAACGGGTTCCCCTTCACCCAAAGCTCTGTACGTACCATGCAGGATGTGTCTGTGTCGTGCTGCAGCGTCCCGTAGCCCGGCCGTGGGCTCCCCAGCAGCCTGCTGCTGTCTGCAGTGCAAAAAGCAAATGAGTTAGGATGGCATTGAAAGCTGTGCCGGATGGGTGGCAGCGGCACGGATGGAAACAGCGGGGCACAAGTGCCACCAAATCCAATCCAAAGCCCACAGAACCCCAATGGGTGGACAGCAGGCGGTGCCAGGGGACAGAAGCTGGCACAGGGAGCGGTGCTGGGGCAGCGCCAGGCAAACCATCCCGCAGTGCTTTTCATGCTTGTTTTCCTCCCTGTCCTTTCCTCCTCGCCTGGGTGCTGGGAAACGGATGGAAAATGTGTTTTGATCCTTTTCTGTTTGCTGTTTAAGCTCCCTACTGTGCAACGTGTGCACAGCTCCACGGGTTAAGAACCTTTCTAGGGGACTGCACGACCATCCTGCCAGCACTGCAGTGACTCCCACACCACCCCAACCCCACAGCTGTGGGTTTTCTCACCTGTTCCCATCCCCGCTGCTTCCCAAAGCCCACGAATGGAGCTCCCAGCTGATCTCAAGGCACGGGATCCACCACGCTGTGCCCAGGAAGCAGCCGGTGCCAAAGAGGGGCGGGCAGAGCGTGCTAAAGCTGCACAACCAGTTTGCACACCGCAGTTTGTGGATGAGGTGTGGCCGTGCAAACACAACGCAGGGCAGCTGCTGTCCCTGCTCTTGCTCCAAACCACGGGGCTTTATTCACCCTGCGATGCTGGATGGCAATGAGAGCATCTTTCCTTTGCAAGCTCCGAGGTGCTTTGCAAGCACAACGGCCTGCAGGGGATCTCTCTGCGCTCTGCTCTCCTGCACTTTCCAACGGGAACCCAAAGGTAGAAGAGAGGAACTCAACGCCCCGCCTGCTCGCATCCTGAGCTGAGCAGCGCACCGTGTCCGGCTGCATCTCCTTGCACGGCGTAAAGGGGCCAACAGCCGGGATGCGGCCGTGCAGCTGGGGGCAGAGCTGGGGAACGGGGAAGGGAAGCAAAAAAAAGGAGAAGAGAGCAAAGCGGAGCAGAGATGCGACTTGCGGGGGGATAACCGAGCCCTGGGGTCTGTGCAAACCGCAAGAGCGAGGAACAACACGGCGTGCAACCCCTGCGTGCCACCCGACCGCGGGGCTTCACCAGCGCTGCCACCCCCTCGGATCACACATCGCAGCCCCCCTCCATCCTCCCATCCCCATCCTCCCATCCCCATCATCGCCCCTGACCTGAGCTCATGGCGGGGCCACGCGTGGGCCGCCCGCCGCCGCCTCGGGGCCGCGCTGAGCAGCGGCAGCGGAAGGGCGGAGCGTGGGAGCTGCCGGGGTTTGTAGTCCTCGCACCAACCCCCCCCCTTTCCCCGTATCATCATCAGCATCAGCAGCATCAGCAGGGAAGCGATCCGTGCTCTGCCCCCATGGAGCCTCAGCACCTGTGTGGAAACGTGGAAATGCGGAAATGCAGCAGCTCTGCCCCCATAGGGGCTTTGCATCCCCTCCCCCATTTCGGTGATGGTTGGGGGCTGCGTGGGGCTCAGCTGCAGCAAAACCGCTGCCAGGAGCAGCCCAGCCCACCTGAGCTGCACGCACGCAGCCACTCTCGCGTCGGGTTTCTTCTGCAGGAAGGGAGACGAAGCAAATGTTTTGCTTGGGGTCTATGCTTCTCGGTGCAGAAATAGCACTCCCCAACGCATTGTGTCCCTGCACTGCTTGCAGCCAGCCGAACCTTTGCCTTTAGGAGCACGATAACCTGCTCTGCACCCAAGGGATTACCGGCAGTCGGTGACTCATGCTGAGCACACAAAAGCCAGCAGGCGGTGCTCCTGATAAACGCCAGCCCGGATCTCCAGCAACTTCGTTTTTCCGTGATCCGTGATCCGCTCCATCGTTTGCCTTCGTGTTACGGAGGATTTCTCCTCCCGTCAGATCGCAAGCAATGCCTGGGTAGAACCTAACACAGCTGGCAGAAAAAAGGAAGGTTGGTGATTTGCCCAGCAACAGGCACGAGGTTACAGGAATGAGGAACAGCTTTGCTCACTTCTCAGTAGAAACACCGCAGAAATCGTCCGGGAAATCCCCCTGCAGCAGCGTGTCTAAGCAGAGCACGGCCCAGAGCACTGAGAACGAGCCATGATTTCCTCCCTTGTGCAAGCTGTGCCGTGCATTGCTGCTTCTGTCAGCATCTCTCTATCGATGTGTCGCCGTGCTTCGTGCTATCGTGCTCTCGTTTGTTTGGCATTAAATTGGGCCCTATGGCCGAAGCTCTTTCCTCGGTCTCTGCTGTCTCCGTGTGGCCAAAGTGAGGAACTGCACCCGGGGCCATAGCGGTCGATGGAGCTCCGGACCCACCCGAGTCCCCGCAGAGCACCATGGAGCTGCGCAGAGCGCCGCTCTTGCTGTCTCCGCTCTGTGCCGCCCCTCTCTATGGTGATAGGTCCTCCCAAGAATATTGCGCGGAAGTGGAGTCCCTTCGCTTTAGCCGCTCTGCTCCGCCAGTCCGCCAACTCTATGCTGTTTGTTCCTCCAAGCAGCACAGCGCTTGCGCGCAGAAAAGCGGAAGTGGCACGTTTGAATTCTAACGGCTCTCCGCAGTTCCCAGCTGTGGCTGGCCGTGCGGGCGGTCCTTAACGGTGGCTGTGTTCCATGCAGCGGCACAGCCTAACTCGAACCCTAACATCAGGCGCCCCTGCAGACGCGTGCTGCTGCTCCTGACATCGGGGTCACAAGGAAAGAAACTCCTGTACCAGCACAGCCCATCCGAGCACCAGCAGGGAGGATTTTCCTGTGCTGGATGAAGTCTTGCTGCTATGAGCAGTTAACTGACATTTGTCACCAACCACCCGAGCAAACAGGGCAGTGCACGGCTGACCTTGGGGATTCAGAGCACTTCTCCAAGCACGTCTTTCTTGCAAGCACCCAGTGGTGCTGTGATGCTTGCTAATGCACGAGCTGGCAGGTTTGCAAGAAGAGCAGTGATTTACAGCCTGAGGCTGCATCCTTGTCTTCATTTCAACCCCACAGCAGCACACAGTGCCAAACTGCCTGACCCGGGGAGCTGGGAGGTGCTACAGCCACCAAGCAGAAGGATGGCAAAGCATCTCCCCTCTCTATTTTATGGCCTTTTGGGAGAGGCAAGGTTTCTTTCTTACCTGGATACGAGCCCCAAGCAGTGCAGAAAGCCATCTCACCCCGAGGAAGGGTCATAAAGAGGGTTTCAGCTTCGTGTGCTGAGTGCATCAGGACACGGCCTCCTCCCCCCCATCATGTGCATCCCAACTCACGTGTCAGCCCTGCACCCCCCTCCTCACCCAGCAAAGGACCCTCTGTTCTTTCTTTCCCCCTCCACTATTTCATCTGATGACCAGGAGGCTCTGTAATTTATCTTGTCCCCACCGCCCCAAATTTATTTCATGTCAGTCCAAAGGGCTGCACGCAGACAAGGGCTCCCTGTGATAAACCCTCTTTGATGGTCCCTTTGACATCTTTCCATCATGTGTCAGCAGCATCCACCGTGACCAGGACACCACAATAACAGCCCTATGCAGAGCCATGGCTGGGTCACATGCATGGCTGCAGGGAGAGGAGATGATGAAGAGCAAAAAGCCATTATAAATATCTTCAGATCGCTAATGATTCCTCCTCCTTACACTTATGCAAATGCAAGCCTCATTTAGCTGGACCACAGACCAAGCCAGAGGCTATGCACAAGAAAAACTTGGATCAGGGCAACTTTTTATAGCCTCGATGAGGCAGGGATGGGTGAAAGCTTTCTCTTGTAGAGCCAATTTTCCTCTCATCACATGGTGGCCCCTCATGACATGCATGATCTACAACCAGCCACTGTCAAACTGAAGCTTGATGGGGTGAGTACATCACCACCAAGCCATGCAGGTGTGTCCTGTGCTTCAGATGCGTTCCCTGTCCCAGTCCTGTATATATTCAGATAAGTAGTAGTGCTTGCTTAGAACTAAGCGTGTGTATTTAGTTGCTGCAAGTCAGCAAAGGTCTCTGAGAAGGGATTCAAGCTGACAGCTGTAAACCCCTGCAGAGTCAATGGCATCTGAGTGGCAGTGGAGCACCCCTGGCACTTAACGTGGGTGAACTGCTTCATTGCAGTGGCTACTTGCCTCCCATTGACCACGACCTGGGAGCTGCTCAGGACCAAAACAGAAAGATTTCACTTGATGGATGTTCACCTCCAAAACAGAAAGCATTCCATCGGATGGGTATTTGTGTCCTCCGCACCTTATGCTGCACAACGTGTGGTTGGGATGGGTTGACAGGGGGCTTGGGTTGGTGGTGGAGGTGGTTTGGTGGTTGGGATGGGTTGGTGGTTGGACTTGATGAACGTACAGGTCTTTTCCTACTTTCATGACTCTACGACTCAAGGTGGAAATTGAGATTTTGGCCCTTTGCTTAAGGCCCAGGCAGCACTTGAGGTCAAGTGGTGATCATTCTTAAAGAGAATTCAAGTATTTCTTGTTAAGGCTCTGATTTTCTTAACCCAAAAGCCCTCAGTGCCACCTGCCCCCAAACAGGAGCTCCAACCACCTCCATCCCCAGCAGACAAAGGTGCTGCTCAGCACCAATGCACATCCCCTGGCCAACTGCTAGGGGTTAGCACCTTGGTAAGGCAACACCTCGAGCAGCTCCCTGTCTTTCAGTGACCCTCACTGTGCCAAGTGGCACAGAAACTCAAAACAACAGACACTGAGAATGCTTTTTTCCTTCTGTCTGCACCTTATTTCCCCCCCCCCCCCTTGTGTTTTCCAGCTTAATGTCTATTCACACTGATCCCTACGCCTTGACACTAACATGACATAACAGGTGAGACATCTGTCTTCCCAATTCACCTGCTCCCCTCCCTCCCTTTTGACACAATCTTGGCACTGGAGGCCTATCCAAAAATTCCCCTGGTGGAAAAACAAATGAGTTTGCCTCAAGCAGGAGCTCCGAGGAGGAATGAAGGGCATTTCTCACGGCGGCTGATGGACACCCCAGCCCCTCTCTGCAGGGCTGGAGGTGCTGCAGGTGCAAAGCAGGGGCCAGGATTGAGTGGAGAAATGCGTGTGGTGAGCAGGGCTGTGCGTTGGGTGGGATTTCACTTGTCATTATTCACATATTTGTAACAGCTACCAGGCGGGGCTGTCAGCTGCCTTCACCCATCTCCCACCTCATCCACCCAGACAGAGATAAATGGCACGGGAGCACCCGGCAGCACCACTATTTCACGCCCCTAACCAAATCCACATGAACCTCCCAGCAATGCGTCCTCACACTGTGCTTCCATTCCTCTGCACGCTGCAGACAGTGGGGAGATGCCCTTCAGCTGCATCCCCCCCTTGTGCCCAACACCGACCTGAAACGTGGCACAAAAGCACACCTCCACCCTCCCAGGCTTTTATTCCCTTTATTTGGAGCACCAGCTCTCCCAAAAACACGGCCCAGAGTTCTGTCCTTGTTTAAAAGCACGCCACTAAAAGGAGCAAACTCACATCCGTGGAGCACTGAGTCATGATTGAGCCCTGTGTGCATCTCATTAGCAGCAAACATCCTGGGGCTGGCTATAAATACACTTCTAGTTATTCAGAAGCTCTTTGAAAGTTCCCCTGTGGGATTTGCACGTTGCAGATGGGAGCCCTGCTGCCCCCCCCCCAGCAGCATCGTTCGTCCTGAGGAGATGCAGGCATGCAATGAGCACGAGAACAGCTCCCAGCCTGGCTGATGAAGTCTTCATTGATGTTTTTTTGCCCAGTAGCAAGGACAGCGAGCACACAAGCATGAAATCCCAGCTCCAGAGGCGGTTGGCTGCCTGCACGTTGGCACAGCCAGCACCCAGTGCTTCAATGCTGCTGAGCATCACAGCTCAGAGCACGTTGCAGCTTTGTGCAGTGCAGAGATTTGGGGCCACCCAATACGAGGACACAGGATTCTCCAGTTCTCCCCCAAAGCCAGCAGAGCCTTGCTGTGTGCACATCCCCACAGCTGCCCAAGGCCAAAGAAGACAAACGCTCCATCTCGAGCAGCATCCACCCCCAGGGCCCCTCCCTGCAGTTGGTCCATGGCAAGCAGTGGTGATAACACACCAGCAGCCCATCTCCTGCCCCTAGGCAGCTGGCTCTGTCCCAGTCACTCAAGTCTTGGCTCAGAGCCCTCACTCCTGGACTCGTTTTGCTGCATTGCTTTGTGTGCAGCACTTCTGGCAGAGGAGATGTGCTTCGTCCAGCCAGGCTTGGCCATTGCTATCCATCCTCTCACATCTCTTCCCTTCTGCAGCTATTCCCATGCACGTAAAGTCCTAAAAGGAAAGTAGAACCAACAGCATTTCAGCACACGATGCTTGCATTTCACTTGAAGCACTCCTGTCAGCAGCTGGAGGCCACCAACGCATCCGGAGAGTTCGATCCTAACCTTAGCACAGAATCGTTTGGGTTGGAAGGGACCCTAAAAAGCCACCTGCTCCAACTCCTCTGCAATGAACAGGGACATCTACAGCTCAGTCAGCTTGCTCAGAGCACCGTCCAGCCTGACCTTGTATGTGTCCAAGGATGGGACAATCACCATCTCTCTGGGCCACCTTGACCCCCAACTGATCCCAAGACCCAAGGGCTGGTGCTGCGCAGCTCAATGGCTCTGCAGACACAGAGAACAGGAGCTCAGCATTGCAAGGAGATGGCAGCCTGCCCAGGAAAGGGTGAGCCAAGGACTGAGAAATGCAATGAGACAGCCCCCGTGTCCCCAAGTCATTCACCTTCAGCAGCTTGGCAAAGGCTTCCAACCCTGAAACACTGCGGGGCTGTTTTTACTGCTGCCGAAGCCATACAAGTAATTACTATTCCTGAATGAGCACAGCTTTTCTGGACTCCCTTTTAGAGAAGTCTGCACACAGCTCTTACCATTATTAACTGCTCTTGTATAAACAAGGCTTTGAAGCTTATGGCAGCTGAAGCAAGCTCCAAAAATAGCTTGGCTTTCTTTTTAAAGAAGGGGGTAAGGGCTATGGGGTGTACAAGCTGGATTGTGAGGGGTGATGTTCCTCTCTTGAGTCCAGAGGGCCTGGGAAGAACTGTATCTTTTTCCAGATGTCCCATTAGAAGCAGGTTTATCAGCCTTGATACCAGAGCTCCATCTCCTAGACACAGGGAAGAGTCAAGGCCACGCAATGTGACGTCCAGAGACCCTACATGAAGATGCTGAAAGGGGTTAAGTGACATTTAGCCCATTAAAACCGGGAGCTTTGTGCTGTGACAAGCAGGACCTGGGCTTCACCATCACATATCCAAGTAGCCACCCTCACCAATGTGAGTTGTGTGATGCAAACGTTGCACCCCAATGGCCCAACAGAGCCCAGCCACCCACTCCTCTGGGTGCTGCAGGGAAGGTCTGAGCAGC